TTCCGATCTGATCCTCCTCACACCCCCATGATCTCCATCCCTCAGTGCCCACCTGGATCCTCTTCACACCCCTATGATCTCCATCCCTCAGTGCCCACCTGGATCCTCCTCACACCCCCATGATCTCCATCCCTCAGTGCCCACCTGGATCCTCTTCACACCCCTATGATCTCCATCCCTCAGTGCCCACCTGGATCCTCCTCACACCCCCATGATCTCCATCCCCCAGTGTCCACCTGGGACCCTCTGAAATCCTCCATGTCCTTCATCCCTCATCATCCTCCTTCTCCCCTCCCTCCATGTCCATCTGGATCCTCCTCACACCCCCATGATCTCCATCCCTCAGTGCCCACCTGGATCCTCCTCACACCCCCATGATCTCCATCCCCAAGTGCCCACCTGGACCCCTCTGAGATCTCCCACAATCTTCAACCCCCAGTGTCCTCCTCCCACCCTCCCTCCCATCCCTCTGGTCCCACCTGTTCCCCCTGGTCCCACCTGAGCCAATCTTGATGAGCCCGTTGTGCTGGATGAAGATGGTGTCACTGGTGAGGTTGCCATGGATGATGGGAGGGTCACACGAGTGCAGGAAGCTGCAGGGACAGGAGACACCTGGGGACACCTGGGCACCCTGTCCTCACCCTCTGGGACACCAGGCCAGTGCAGGGAGCAGGGGGGGGTGGGCAGGTGAGGGCACCAGGTGAAGGTTCAGACCTACCTGAGCGCAGACAGGATCTGTGTGCACCAACGTTTCCAGGCCTAGGGCAGAGAACAAAGATCTCCATCAGGTGGGGCAACACCTGCACCTCAAGACAGGTCCTTCCCACCCATCCAGGTCCTTCCCACCCATTCCCCAGTGACTAGGACATCTCCTGTGTCCTGCTGAGGCTCAGGGATGAGCCACTCATGGTCCCAGTCCCTGCTCGAAGGACACCAGCAAAGGGCTTAGTGTTGGGTCTCCAGGAGACCTGGGAGGGATCTCCAGCCCAGACTGGATGGGGCTTGGAGCCAACTGGGCTGGTGGGAGGTGTCCCTGGGTGGACCTAGATGACATTTAAGGTCCTTCCAACCCAACCCATTCCATAATTCTGGAGCTCCTCTGCCCTGGGCCTGGAGGGACAGGACAAAAGTGTTCCAGGCCAGGTTGGCCCATCCTAGTCTGGTGGAACCTTGTCCCACCTTGTCCCTGGTGAGACTGGATGACCTTCCAGTCAAGCCCTTCCAATCAAGCACTTCTGGGGTCCTACAAACTCCTCCCCAAGAGGTCCCTGAGCTCCACACCCTTGAGTAATCATGGCCAGAAGGTCCCAGAGGGTCAGGACCAGCTGTGGCCATGGTGTTGCATCACAGAGCTCTCCCTGCACACCCCACAGTGACTCTGGAGATGAATATGAACCTTCAGAGCAGGTCTGGGCGGTGAAGACAAGTCACCACCAAGGTCCCACAGCCCCTTGGTCCCACCAGGCCCAGGGGAGAGGGTTTGGAGGTGAAGTTGGTCCCTTGTCCCCACCAATCATCTCCCAGAGCAACCACCACCACCCACTAGAGCTGCTCCCAGTGTGGTCCTCACCTGGAGGTCAGACCTCAACAGTGAGACCCATTTTGGGCTCTCCTGGGACAGTTCTACTCTTGTTCCAACTATGTCCTCTCAGCAGAACCTCCAAGGAGCAATGACCAACATCTGCTCCACCTTGGAGGAGCCCAGAGACCCTCCCTGTCCACCTGTCCCTGCCCCCAGGGACCTACCCTGGCATTCATGGCCTTGTGGTTCTTCTTGGTCTTCTTCAGGAACTGCTTGAGGCTCCCTGAAGACACATACTCTGTGATGAAGATGACCTGGGAGGGAAGAGAATGCTCAGATGGTCCTGGGGAGGGAAGAGGAGCTCCAGGAGTTGGGTGAGGATCTCCAACCCAGTCCCACCATCATCCCTCCTCACCCTGGGACCCCCTGGACCATGAGGAGAGTGAGGAGCACCTCTAGGACTTGCAACCCAGTCCCACCACCATCCCTCCTCATCCTGGAGACCCCCAGGATGCTGAGTCCTCCCAGCCCACCCTACCCTTGCCTTGGAGTCCTTCACATCCAACCAGTACTTGTGGAGCTTGACGATGTTGGGGTGATCCACCAGCACCAACTGCTCAAACATGGTCTTGATCTTCTCCTGGAGGCACAGGGAGGACAGGTGAGGTGGAAGGTCCCTGGATGGAGCAGGACATCCCCAAGAGCAAGGGGAAATGTGCCCCAGGAGAGCCCAAATGGGTCCCACTGTTGGGTATGACCCCAGGGTGGAGACCCTACTGGGAGCAGCTCTGGTGGGTGATGTTGGCTGCTCTGGGAGCTCATGGGTGAGGTGCAGAGGACACTGGAGATGCCTCTGAGGGCCAAGCCATGGTGCCCCTGGGGCAGGAGCCAAGCTGTGACCCACAGGTGTCCCCAGGAAGGTGCAGGAGGTCTGAAGGTCCCACTGCCCACCCAGTGACTCACCTCATGGGCCTTGAAGGCCTTTTTGTCTGTGAAGAGCAGCTCATTCCACACCACCTCCACCCCCTCCTCCGTGTCCATGGCCAGGAAGGTGCTCTGGATGCCTGGCATGTTCCCCTGGTTCACCTGGAGCATGGCACAAGGGCTGAGCACACCTGGAGGATCTCCTGACCCGCCTGAAGGTGATTCTCACCACAGGAACCCTCTGCTGATCCCTCCTGACCACAGACCTCACTGGTGAATCTCCTGACCCACCTGATGGATCTCCTGACCCACCTGGAGGTGACTCAGAACCTCTCTGATCACCCACTCTGATCCCTCCTGACCACAGATCTCACTTGTATCTTCTGACCCACCCGGAGATGATTCTGACCACAGGAACCCACTGAGTCCTCCTCAGCAGAGACAGATCTCACTGGTGGATCTTCTGACCCACCTGGTGGTGACTGAGAGCTTCTCTGACCACAGGGACCCACTGCTGATCCCTCCTGCCCAGGACAGATCTCAGTGGTGGAGCCCCTGACCCACACGGAGATGATCCTGACCACAAGAACCCACTGATTCCTCCTCAGCAGAGACAGATCTCACTGGTGCATCCACTGACCCAGCTGGAGTTGAATCAGAGCCTTCCTGACTACAGAAGGAGGTTCTGGATGGGCACTGAGCTTGGAGCAAAGCCCCAGCCATGGTAGGAGAACCAATCCTTCAGAGCAGGTCCCATGCCAATCCCTCCAGCCCAGCAGAAAGCTGGTGGTGATAGTCACCTCCAGCCCCACACACAGGCAGGGACCCTCAGGTGTCCCTGGGGGAGCCACACACACACCCATGGCTGAAGGTCACGTTCTGCTGGACAAGGAACATCAACAGCAGCTCCTCTGTCCCCAGGGAGAGAGCCAGAACCACCAGCCAGGACCACCAGCAGCTCCTCCGTCCCCAGAGATAAGCCAGGACCATCACCAGCCTCTCTATCTTCAGGGAGTCAGCCAGGACCACCAGCTAGGACCACATCAGCCCCTCTGTCCCTAAGGTGGGGTCCAGGACCAGCCCCTGTGTCCCCAGGACCACCAGCAGCCCCTCTGTCCCCAAGGATGGACCCAGGACAAGCTCCTCTGTCCCCAGGGATGAGCCAGGACCACCACCAGCCTCTTTATCTTCAGGGAGTTAGCCAGGACCACCAGCTAGGACCACATCAGCCCCTTTGTCCCTAAGGTGGGGTCCAGGACCAGCCCCTGTGTCCCCAGGACCACCAGCAGCCCCTCTGTACCCAAGGATGGACCCAGGACCACCAGCCAGGACCACCAGCAGCCCCTCCGTCCCCAGGCCCTCTGTCCCCAGGGAGTGTCCAGGCCCAAGATCCACCCCAGCAGGGCCATCTCCAGCTGCCCCAGGCCTGGCAGGATCTGTCCTGGAGCCAGGAGAGCTCCTGCAGGGCCTGAGGCTCTGCCCAGGGATCTGCAGCACCAGCCAAACCTGTTCTGACCCTGAGCAGGTGAGGGAACACCCAAGGTGGAACATTCTTGGCCTCCAGTGAAGCGTTTGCTCCTGTCTCTGCTCGAATCCAGCCCAAGGGCACAACCACCACCGAGGGCTCCGGGCAGGGTGAGCTCCTGCTGCAGCCTCAGGAAGCCACTGGGACCAGGAGTGACCTGGGCAAGGCTGGAGAAGCTTGGAAGGAGGAGCAGAGCCAGGGGAAAAGGAGCAGGGATGGTCAGTCCACCAGGAGCAACAACTTGGTGCCTCCAGGGTGGGAGAGCAGGGGAAAACAGCTCCAGGGACAGCACAGAGGGATGGGAACACAGATCTCCATCCTGGGCACGAGGAGCACATGGTGTAGCCATGAGCTCTCCCTGTCCATTCCCAGGACATCCCAGCAGGATCTGGTGCCTGCAGGGTGGGGAGAGCAGGAGGACACTGCTGCTGCCTCCCAGGGATGGGCAGGGACAGCTCATAGATAAGGCCTGGGTGCAATGTGCTCCTCATGGCCAGGATGGAGATTTCTTACTGCTCCCATCCCACTATGCCATCCCTGGAGCTGTTTCCCTCCTGC